ATTATAATATATTAATTATATATATAATGAAGATGATATATTATTCTAAACGAATGCAATTAAATAACCTGTCCTGTTATTAATAATTTTATTTAAACTTGTTCGATATTATTTTATTGTTACACAAACATAAATATGATATTTATCACAGATCTTTTCATCAGTATGATTTGTTTCTAACTAGAAAATAAATCCTTATATAGAACAAGTATTGATAAACCAAAACTATAGTCATACCTAAAGCTTTTTTAACTATGGGAATATAAATTTAGAACGAATACAGTTTGATGACCTATCGCATTTATTAATAATCTTTCTTTCTTTCTTTTTAACTAACTCGATATCTTTTTTTATTACCATAAGCGTAAATACGATATTTATCATAGACGCGTGTCTTTACCTCGTTAGAATTTCTTTCCAACTAGATAATAAATATTTATACTCAATTATATAAGATTAATATCAAAATAGGATAAACCAGCAAAATATCTTACTAATGATAATAAATACAACTTTTTTAAACTAGATAATATCATTTCAGAAAGTTAAAACAATGAAAAATGGGATATAAATGAAGATTAAAATATTCAGAATAAATGCAATTGAGTTGGATGACCTATCGCGTATATTCAGTAATTGTTTTTTTTTCTCATTAGCAAAAATGTAAATATTATCACATATATCTCTCGGGAACGCGTATTTTCTCCATGTTATGACTGTTTTTTTTTAAGCTAAAATATAAATCCTTCTATACGAAGAAGTACAAATAAATTGAAACTAAAAAACCAATAACCAAAAATATTCTCTCAATTGGATAATATTATCCCAGAAAGTTAAAAGCAATCCAAATCAACATGAAGAAAAATAATATTTTTGGAACACGAATGCAATCGAAAAATTTAATAACCTATCGCATATATTTAATAATTCCTGTTGAACCTTTTTTTTTTAGAAACAAATCTAATGTTCGGCGGGGAGAGGAGAGGGCGGGAATTAAAAAAGAAGAAAAAGAAAGGAATAAAAGGAATCATTAAAGCAGCCGGTCCAGGATACGCGCATCGCGTTTCGCTAAAGTCCGAACGAAAAGTCATCGCACTCGCCTTGACATCGATCGCATTTTAAAGCCACCACGTACGTGCGTAGTATCGCGAGATCTCCATATAAGAAACCTTCTCATTGGAGAAACGGAGAAAGAGAATGAAAAAGACATAGTGGAAAAGAAACTTGCAAACTCAGAAAAGGGAAGGACGATGCAAGGATGTCGAATGAAAAAGATACTTGCAGACAATAAGAGAATTAAACGGAGAAAGAGACAGTAAAACAATCAAAAAGAGAGAGAAAAAAATATGACAGAGAAAGAGAGAGAGAGAGAGAGAATATGAAAGAGTATGAGAAAGGAAGAAAGAGAGAGAGAGAGAGAGAAATAATAAGAGGGTTAAAAAGAGACGGAGAGAGATAATAAGATAGTTAGAAAAAGAAAGAGAGAAAATATAAGAGTACAAGAGAGAGAAAAAGAAGGAATAAAAGGGAGTAAGAGAATAAGGAAAGAAAGAAAGAAATAGAGGGAGATGGAAGAGGATACGTCGAAGGGCGAGGACGCAAAGAAGGGCAGGAAAGCAGCTGGTGGCGTTGCTCGCTTTCACGATGCACGATGTCCGCGATGATGCTCGATCGAAACGATGCCCTGTCAAAAATCGTTACTTGCCCCCCGCATTCCTCCTACGCTCTTTCTCATTCTCATTCTCTTTCTCTTTCTCTTTTTCCTTCTCCTCCTACCCCGACATCCTTCCTCGCCCTTTCCTATTACATTCTCTCTGTCTTTCTCTTTCTCATACGCACTCCTTTATTTCATCTCTCTCTTTCTCTCTCTCTCTTTATCTTTTTCTCTCTTTTTCTCTTGACGTGTATTCCATCCCCTGAAAAAAAAATCCTTGCACGTTCACAAGGAGAAAAAAGGAAGTCTTTAACTTTGTTAGATTCTAGGAGAATTTTAAAGAGAAGCTACGACTTGGTGTGGGAGATTCTAAAGAGAGAGAAAGAGAGAGAAAGAGGGAGAGAGAGAGAGAGAGAAATGGAAAGAATCCTTTTCGCGAGCGTCGTGACACACGGGGGATTGGCAGGATGATCGTGTATGCCAGAGAGGGTCAAGGGCCGTAAACAGTCCGTTAGGCCCCCCATGTAAGGCCTTGAAAGGGGAGAATGAGTGAAAAGGCAAAACAGAGGAATAAAGTGTACGTAAGAAAAAAAGAAAGAGAAAGAGAGAAAAAGAGAGATAGAAAGATTTGAATAAAAACAAACGAGCTAAATGAAAGTGATGAAAAGAAAGAAATAAATATAAGGGTTAAATAACAAGAAATATCGAACGGCTAAGAATCGATTTAAATAATATCGTATTCAGAGGTAGTAACATAATATCTTCTTCATCGTCTCATTGTGTATTTGAGGATCCTGTATGTACATTTCTCTGTCGTCTATATTATATCTACAAGTAAAAAAAAAAAGTCTCTTGTACTCACTTCATATTTGCCTGGCCGGGAAGCGTGTGCTATGCCCTCGTGCAAGCGGTATTCCTGCTTCTACACAGTATATCACCGATCCCATGAAAACACGCGAGATTCGGACAAGACTTGCGGTAGTTCGACATAAATAACGCGCGGCACTAACACCACCGTGACACCCAGCTACTGCACATCTGGCCGGCCATATTGCCGACTCTCGATTCGTCCTTACTCCTACCACCACCGCCGCCTTCGTTACTTCGTCTTTGATCTGCGCACGCATAGATGGGGGAACTTACTTCGAACAAATTGTTCCGCCAACCAGATGGCGTTCTTTCGCGTATCCTTATCTCTCATTGGTCCGTTCTTATTATTCGACACTCTTTGAATTCTTATCGTTCATTGGCTTATATCTTTATGAGATTAGATATTCCTTATTTAATGATCTATTATGTAATAGATTCGATTGCATTTACTCAGTTTTTTTTTCTTTTAACTATATTAACTTTCGAGAATATTTTGTTGGTTTTCAGAATATAACATTATATATCGAGTTTCCTGCGTAAGAAGATTTACTGAATTAATTAGTAATGCTCTAATTAATCGCGTTTCATACACGCTTATCCGACCGAAAGTGCACCGACTGTGATTTTGTCCTTATTTGAAAAAAATATAAAAACAATACCCAACAACTAAAAATACCGGTTATATTGTAACAAAAATCATTTGTTTGTATAAATAATTTATATCTAATAACAAATGTGTAATTATTAGGTATTAATTATAAATAAAATATTAGGATTATATGTTTTCTCAATTTTTGTTTAAAATAGACTTCCACCACTTTCACAATAAGCAGTCCAATTATAATACTATAGTATTGAATATTATAACTCTAGTTAGATCATATAGATAAATAAAAATATACAAAACATTTGCTAGTATACTTGCTTTAAAATGATTTATAAAATTTGTGAATGGTAATTTCATATAATTCATTTGTGACCAATCGTCCTTTATATACAACGCCTGTATAAACAGATTGTATTACTACTTGTTATTTCGACCCCTATCATAACAATGCACTTTTACAATATGATAACAAACTGATATAAAATAGATTTGTATTATAATCCTATGTTTTGTATTAACTTCTATAAATCATTTTCGGAAATAATTTCGTACAAGAAATATTATCTGATTTTAGACTCACAATGAAAGAGTCAAGACAAAACAAACAAAAACCTAATCTTTTTCCCTAAGGACTTGAATTTAGGTGGGAAACATTTGAAAAAGGGAAAAAAAAGAACATATAAAACTTGTTAATCATATGAGAAACTCGATTAGATAAATGGTTGTTCTAATCTATATTATCGACGTTACAAATAATATCAATCGTGCAGAATTCTGTAATGAAAAGTTAGATTCTTTAATTTGCCGTAAGGAGAGGTTAGTAACGCACCGATCAAGGTACGCGATATACGCGCCGTGTATTCAGATTCTTCCACGAAAATATATGTATTTCACCGAGAGTGAATAACCCTGGATCGAGGAAGTGATTGGTAGGAGTTTGAGGATCGTGGAAGGAATATTCCAAGCTACAACATTCCTCTTGAGAAGGGAAATGAAGTCTAACTTTCGTTAATTAAATACGCGAGTGTACGTCTATCTTGGATCTAAAACGCCATTTTGTGAGCACGCATCGCGACGTAAACATCAAAACTTTCTAATCCTGTTTATCCTAACGTTGAGACGATTAATCGTTGATCTACGAAAAAAATCGAATACGAACTTTGTTCGATCGTTTGCAATTTATGACCGTTAGAAAAGTTAACGTTTTTTCATTCCTTCCGTAAAGACGTTTCGCGCCAAATCCGGCAGAACGCACCTGGCGCGTTAACAGGCCCACAAACAGCTGTCCCGTTTCTCATCAATTTTTACGATATCCTAGATCGGTCCTTGGTTTTAAGGTATCGAGGAAATTCCTTGGACCAGGTAGATCCTTTTTCTAAAATTTTCTTTCTTATTTATCTATTTTCTCCCAAATATTATTTTCAACTTGTTCCATAACCGTTCTTCTCTCATAAAATGCGCCTCATGTTTTTTCACTTGCATCACATTTTAAAACGAACGTCGGTTATAATTCATACCTCCCCTTAATTCCCAATTAGTCACGAATTCCAATGACGAAATCTAACGTAAAATAATTTCTTGGAGTTTATTTTTCGTCAGTTGAATTCATATCAAAATTGTAATTATTTGCAAGTTATTATATAAATTAGTTTGTCTATAAATAATGTTTGATCGATTTGATTATAAGGTGTTAGAAATTACATGCTACAACAAGTGTATATTATTATTTGCTTCTCTCTAATATTTGTGGAGAATTATGTGCTTATCGATAATCTTAGCCACTATAAACACATGGATAATAGTGTAAGTCAATGTTTATTTTTGTATTTGTAATCAATTTATTTATCTTTCAGTCTTCCTCCTCCATTTGTGTTTCCTTCAAAGAGAAACGTATCGACATGTAGAAAAGAACTTTATAAATGTATGGTTAAACCAAGTGAACGGCTTATATTTAAAAATTTTAAAAATGTGATATTAACCAAGATTAATGGTTGAAGTAAAATATAAGGAATGGTATTCAATTGTATTCTCCCTGGATGTCAGATAAGCTGAAAAATGTCTGGTGATTCAGGATGGAGTGCTGTTATCCATCATCCTTCAGAATTAGAATTACAGAATTGGAATTGGGAAGAAAACGATGGAGAACAGGAAAGAGAACTTCCTTCGACAGTTGATATGGATGCCATAAAAGGTGGAGGTAGCTGGGATCCTGCTAATGGAGCTAATGGTACTATTTAATATTCAATTTTATTTTTATTGATTTTGTATTAGAGAAATAAATTATTATAAAGAAATAAAATTTAAAATGCGAATACCTTTTTACATATTATTTTATTGTACTTAGGAACTGATTCTATTGATTCCGAAGAAGATTCTGATTCTGACGAAGAAAGTTCTGGTGGAACCGAAGGCAGCTGTTCTTATTCAGATTCAAATTCAGAATCCGACGACGAAAGTAGTGAAGAGGAAGAAGGGGAAGATACTGGATCTAATTCAGATTGTACGTCTGAACATAGCGAGCAAACGTTTTCAATCCAAGAAGCTAATTTTGAATCGGTATGCATTATAATGTGTGCTTCTGCAAAAGTACGGTAATGTAGGAAATATTAGTTAGATAAATAATAAGTATTAATTATACGAATTTCAATGGTCTGTGGAAAAATTTTATCGACAATTGCACATTGCATTTCAATAAGATGACCCTTTTCAATAAGAAGTCTTAACAACACAATTGCATCGCTTGGAATTCGAATGGTTAAATCAGATCTATATTTATTACTTGTAATTATATATAATTGTATAAGAAACATTCATTTTGTAGGGAGCACTTAAATTAAAAATCAGCATGAAGGGTCCAAAAAAGGAAGATATGGATAAAAGTAAACATGATAAAAATCGAAAAAACATGACTAAAAAGATTAAAGCAACAAATCGCGGAGTAAAAGTAAGTTGTTTCTCTAACTACGTAAGCTTATTTAGTACAACACATTATGTTATAGAAACTTACATAATTGCAATTATATTATTCTGTATGATTAGTCTTCAGAATGTAGCAGCGATGACTCTGATTCATTAACAAGTCAGAATTTACAACAAACGCATCAAGCGTCTATTCAACAATCGCAGCAACAGCAACAACAACATCAGCCGCTTCAAGAAATAAATCAAGAAGACTTGGCAGCTATTTTACCGGATCAAGAACACGAGGATGCTCCGTTCGACGGATTTGAGGACTCTGAAAGTGGCCGTTTGGTATCTAAAGCTATTGAACGTATGTCGTTAGGAGCGGACTCAGACAATAGTGAAAATGGTGATCAAAATCCTATACCTGTATATAGTTCGACGCTTTTACAACAATTTGTTGAAAAGACGGCACTTTTGTCAGAACCTCGAAAAAGACGTAGCAAGTTAGGAAAGAAACTTAACGATACCGAATATCCTTGCGTATCAAACGTATCACCGGATTCAGGCATTCAATCTGTAGATAATAGTCCTTTGCATTTAGCAATTAGTCCAGTAAGCCCGCCAGTTCCCACGCAATCTCCTGTACAGCCAGTTGTTCCAAAACCAGCTGTTAACGTGGATAGAGTTTTATATCCACCTAAAAGAAAACCAGGTAGACCTGCAAAAGCAGTATCTACCCAACCCCGTGGCCCAGGAAGGCCCAGATTAAAGCCAGAAGTTACTGAGAAGATAGAAAAAGTTGAGAAAAATGAAAAAAAAAATACGCAATTGCAACAAAAGGTTGTAAAGAAAGAAATACCAACCGGAAAGAGGGGTAAAGTCAAACCCTTGCCAAAATCAACAACAACTCAACAAGATACATCTGTAGTTAAAAAAGTTAAAGATAAGAAGCCTTTCCAAAATAAACGGTCTAGTACAGTGAAAGTTTTACAGGAGAAAGCGAGTAAGCGAGTAAACGAAAAAGCATCACCAGCTAGAGTTAAGTGCCTAAACAGAACGGTAGCAAATAAAGCTATACGAGAAACGACACAATGTGATAGCAAAGTTTGTAAGAAATTAAAACAAGAGAAACCTAATGTATCTAACAAAAGTATGGTCCCGGTAACACGTCAAAAACAATCTTCGTGCGAGCGTAACGCAAGCGAACCAAAAACTGTGCATCCTAATAAAAGATGTTCGAAAGAAAATAGAAATAATGCGGGTACAACAACCAGAAAGCAAAGCTCGTTAAAGAAACCTATTCCACAAACTACACGACGCGTTTTAAAAGAAAACAAATGTAATAAAAAGAGTAATTCAACGTTTGAAACCAATGGAGTAAGTGTCCAAACATTAATATCCTTACCCATTGGGGAGTTAAAAACAGAAAACGTAGAAAATGTATCTAATAAATGTGACAAAGCGACACAACCAATACATACTCATTGTCACAAGCATCATCATCATAAACATCGCCGGCGAATGTTAACGCCACCAAAACATCCAATTCGTATCGATCCATGTATTATACAAGAATTAGAAAAGCTAATCGATGAATTTACTAGATCTTGTAGTTTAGGAAGAAATAATAATAATTCTAATCATACGGAGTTACCACAAATTTTTCGAGTAAAAAAGCTTACAAAGAAGAGAAAATGTGATTTAAATT